TTATAAAAAGCAAAAGGACCAGACATTTTTGGCACATGTCTGTATTCCCAGCACTCATTTGATTGTGACAGTGAGGGTCAGGAGTCCCTTACCTGCCTGGGCTCCATATCAATACCCTGTGCCTTAAAGAAAAAAATATCAAATATGTGGGTGGATTATTCCCCCCATATTGCCCAGTGTACTAAAACCCAGAAAATAAATATTTTAAAAAAATAGTCTGATTTCTGTACTTTGAGTAACCAAGAATATCCCCAGAGATTGTTTTCAGGATATATGAGAAAAGTTTGAACAACAAGGCAATGTTCTCTCATCTCCAACAGACATCCTCACTGATACTTGTCTGAGGATCACTACATGTCTTAGAACATCACCTTTTCAGTATCTTTTGAAGGTCAGCCTCAGGAGCAGACTTGGTAATCTCAGATTTTTAATTCTTATCCAAATGCTTCAGATAATTCTTTTATTACTATTACCTATGTGTCAATAATCTTATGAAAAATTCCAGAAAAATGCAATATAAGGAATAGCAGATGATTCAGTCAGGAAGGCTCCCAAAGTCTGAACAGAGTATCTGTCATTCAATGAGGTCATAGAGAGATGTGAACTGACTATATTTACATGGATTCAGAGAAATGGCTAGATTTCACATTTTCATTCCAAAACACAAGCTGTATAGTTTGGAGTAAACAGAATATTCTTTAAAGTTTTTAAATTTCAGTTTTAGTTACGTGTGTGTTTTTTTCTCACATGTATATCTGTGCACCATGTTGTACCTGGTACCTGAGCAGGTCAGAAGAGGGAATCATATCCCCTGAAACTTGAGTTTTGGATGGTTGTGGGTGTTGTGGATCAAAACCAGTCCTTTTGCAAGAACAAGTTAAAAAGTGCTCTTAATCACTGAGACATGTCTCTAGCCCCTAGCATTGTCTTTAATCTTCAATGAATGAAAATTAAAAATTTTTTTATTTAGAATCAAGAAATCCAAAGTCTTGTTTTGTTTGTCTTTTTAGGAAAATTCTGTTTCTCAGGTGGAAATGCACAGGAAACTTCCAGGGTTTTTTTTTTTTTTCACCAGACCATAGACTGTTGCATAAAGAGATAGTATCATGTGACTAGGTTCTATTAAATAGTTGGTAATTGTGAATTAAATGAATGAAATAATGTTTAAGTTATTTTCTTTTAATGTTGATTTAACTTCAAGAATGAATGACGGAAACATTGAGAATTCAGGGTGAAAACATTGCCTTGGTCAGCCCTCTTTTCCCTGTTACTTACCTTGGAGTAGGCTTGGGGCTTCTTGGAAGCCACGACAGAACCACAGTTGGTAATCTTGAGCACTCTGGGGGGGAGGGGTAAAAAGAACCAACCATCATAGATAATCTTTCACAGTGGATTCTTTAAGAATACCTTTCCTCACCATTACCAGCTCTCCAGAAGGAAAATTTTTAGGATCAGTATTAATGATGTGTTTTTTGACTACAGGTTTGAGTCATCTGCCATGATTTCAGGAGAAAACCCTTGGGTACTTGGCTTGCCTTTCTCATGGAGCCTAGATCTATTGATCCACAATAGAATGTGAATGGCCATGGAATAAAAAATTACATTCACCCATCAACACTTACCAAGAAAAAGTTTATTTCAAGATCTGTTACATCTGTTTGTCCAC